TTTGCATATTGTATGGTTGCCAAATCTGGCCAAAACAAAGTATGGCCACCATGATTTCTTAAAAAAGGAAGACTTTTTTAAACATTCATTAATATAAATTTCAGCATTAATATTTCCTTTTGTCATAAATAACAAACCCTTCAATCCACACTGGAAAATTTCTTGCCATACCAGATAGTTTGAGCCAAACTTTTCAATACCAATTGAAATTTGAGATTCTGGAAGAACAACTCCTTCTGCTGTATAATAGCAGGTCTGAAAATGTTGATACATCAGCCTTCGTGTATGTTTCATCATCTAAAACCAAACAAGCATTCTTCTTGACAATTAAAGAACAGAATTTTTCAGCTCTAGTTTTAATTACATTCTAAAAGCACACAAACAATGATATAGGACATATTTCATACTGATACATACCTAAATATGTTACATAAAACTTTTTTCACAATCTGGGTCTGTATTATTGACTTCAGACCCAACGCCAACAATTGACAGCTTGTTCACTCTGCATTTTCAAAGAAATGCACAACAAAGTTTAGAAGAATTCCTACGGCTGTTTTCCATTCATGTTCCTATTTTTTAATGCTATGTAAGCATTAATTACATTCTTTTGTTTTTCAGTCAATTTAGGTATTTCCTGTTTTTTTTTTATATGATCTTGTATTTGCATACTGCTTAACCCACTTTTAACTATTGTTTGATTAGTTTCACATTTTTTGCAATATCTTTCACTGACATATTGTGATTTTTAGAAATGACTCTGATGATAATCAGAGTCATTTCTAAAAATCAAATATGTTCAAGTTGAAATCAAAATATGTTCAAGTTAAAAATCAAAAATCTGGTCAAGTTGTGAACTGCTACCACCACATTTTCCACTGCAACATCACTTTCAAGAAATGATCAATGTCTTATGATACTGATTTAACATTCCATCCACTGTATTTTGGAAAATTTGTAGCTCTTTTACTATGAAATGTGTTGACTTTCCTGGATTTTTGAGCCATCTGTCAACAATTACTTTTCAATGGTCTATTTCGTTCATTGTTTAAAGCATCCTTTCTCAAAGTGGGCAATAACGCCCCTTGTGTGCACTGGAGGCTTTCAGGGGAGCAGTAGAAGGCTCAGTGATTAAATATGAGTTTTATTTCTTCTCATTAAAACATTCTTTGATCTCAGAGATGGGTCACATCCTATCTATCCTATCCATATAATAATAATAATAATAATAATAATAAATAGTGCTTATTGTACCTGTTGTTCTCTTCTGTACAGGTGTGATACCACACACACTACACAAAAGCCTGGAAACATTACAACTGAATAGAAATACATACATCACACTACAGAAGGCCACTATATTGAATACATGCCATATTGTTAGGAAATTCCTGAATACAGACACTGACACACACATTTAATTTTAGTTCTGTTTTGGTTGCTATTCCTTGACTTTGGTCCGGCATAGTACACAGCCACCGGTGTAAACCGAGTATAACTCACTAAACCCAACATAATAATAATAATAAAGGAAGAGGGGCTGCCTGCTTTTGCAAACTTAGCCCACTAGGAAGAGAAAGGGGTGGAGAAAAGTTGAAGGAGGGGTTCTGAAGGGAGAAGTATAAAGGAAAAGGGGGAAAGTAAGGGTAAAAAAGAAGTTCTTAGGACCTCAGAGCACTGCATCAGAAATTATTAATAACCAAAATTACAAAAGTTGACAAGACAAAGTTGACAAGTTGAAAAGTTATACAATATTAACAATTATAAGAAACGGTCCAGTTACAGTAAAATACAAAACCCATTGCATATGGGTAGATAGAAAATAACCTTGAACACTGCAATGTTACAATAATATTAAGAACTGGAACTAAAAATTTTAATACACAGAGAATGTAAATATCAGCTTACTATGAACTACAATATAAAAATACTGATTACATGGTACGTGAGGACTTGATACATATTAATGGAAATACCCATATAATAATGCATGTTTAAACATTATATTTGCAATAACTGTTTTTAAGATATGCAACAGATGGTAAGGTAAAAAAGGTAAGTTAAAAAATATGGGGACACTAGATTTTTTTTTTAATCTCAAAGTGGGCAGTAGTCGAAATAAGTCCGAGAACTTGTGGTTTAAAGCAATAGCACAGTTAGTTTAATAAAACTGATAATGGATTTCTTATTCTAATTATTTGAAATTGTTGCTATGGCAACAAACAAGAATTATAAATAATAAACAAAAAAGTTAATATCTTTTGAATTTCATGGATTTTAATTAAGATTCAACAATCAAGTTTTATAGTTATATAGTTCTAATTAACTGCTGAGAAGCAGTTAATTAGAACTATATAACTATAAAACTTGATTGTTGAATCAACTGGTGCCACTACATCCATGGCCTTCCATGGTTTTCAGATGATTTTTCAACTCATTCCACTATTGTTTATATACATACAGAGAATATATATCATTTTCTTAGTAAGAATGTACAATGTGTTTTGAAGTTGTGAAATAAATGTGTCAGTAATCAAACAAATTAGTTATGTGTTTAAAAAAATCCTAAAATATTCTTCATAAAAAACTTATGAAATTTATTATAAGCAAGCCTTATGATTTAAACACACACTCATTAAACCTTTAACTCCAGAAATCCAGTTAGAACAGTATTTCACATGATTCATTAAAAAAATATTTTCAATTATATTTAACTTTATGATTACCAGTTTTGTTGAAATAATTCAAAAAAGAATTTCTTCTCTGAACTGATTTTAACAAAACAGTTTTTAGCACACTCCACTATAGTGATGATGAAGTACTTATGTTAGGACTTTTGTCTGTCAGGCATCGTTGTCCATCTGTCAGATATCCATGCGCATGCACAATGACTTCACTTTCATTACCTAAGTGTTATGTTCCGTTCAATCCATTTATTGTGCATGTCCACATGCATGTGTAACATTTTCTACTTGATTTTAAGAATTTATAAAATTTATTTTAAACAAAATTAATATTTGATTTGCTTTTGTGGAGCATGCTATGAGATCGGCTTGACCAAGCTTGTTTATTTTTAAGAAATATCAATATATTTCTTAAAAGTAATAATAGAGACATTACTGGCATTAATTACTGGCATTAAGTTGACAAAAATTTTTCTAACAGTTACTTTTTTTATTAATATTGATTAATGCATTTTTATTTTATTTGAAAAATTATAACATGCATATTAATTCCCAAACAAACTGCCAAATTATTATTTAGCTATTATAAGGTTAGTAAATAATTATATATAAATTAATTTGGCTAGAAGTAGGTAGTTATTCTACCATCTCATGAAAAATTTAATAATTAAGAATAAATTAATTTTAATTTTGAATTCAGAATATTCTGGAAGGAAAGAAATGGTCGAGTGGAACTTGAACCCACAACTCTTGCTTGCCATGCAGTTGCATTGCTAATTACTATCTGGACCCATTCCAATCTTCCAGAGCTATTAATTAAGATTGATAAGCCCCAAACTCAGTTGGTTTATATAAATGTAAATTATATAATGATTTATCTTTTGATTTGTGTGTTTGAATGTTGCATTTAATTAAAAAAACAAAAAATTGATGTAGTTCATAAGAATTTAGTGTTGTACCTAATAAAACTCAAATCTAGTTTTATTTATAATTTCAAGCATTGGATAGATATATCCAATATCTAGCATATACACTCTAGTACATGCTAGATAATTAAAAAATCATTAATGTCTTACACAATACTGACTATTACAAATATTGAAAGGCAAATTATGGATGTGTTATAAATATTAATAACTGCAATTTATTACTAAAAAGATTAAATTTGCTATAATTATTGAAATGAAAACAACAACTTATTTTTATTAGGGAAACTAAATTAATATAAAATTAAAAAGAAACACATAGCAAATATTAACATCTAGCAAATTGACAGAATGAAACTAAAATATATTCTAAGTATATTTTTTATTTACCCATGATAAAAAAAAAAGTATCAGAAATGGTTCAATAAAATGCAAAATTTAAATTTATTCATCAAAATTTATTTCATTCCTTTCAAAGTAATCCCCTCCCATTGCAAGGCACTTATACCAATGTTTTTTCCAATCCCCGAAACATGATTTAAAGTTGTTTTCATGAAACCCCTTTAGGACTGGAAGTGAATTTTGTTTATGGCATCAACTGACTCAAAATGGTGATCACAGAGCATAAATTTTAATTGAGGAAACAGGAAAAAGTTACACAGTGCCATATCAAGTGAATATAGAGCTTGTGGAACATATATGTTGAATTTTTGGCCAACAATTCATGAACAACAAGAGTATTGTGATCATGCCTTATCATAAATTCACAAGTTTTCTTGTCACAAAACAAGTCAATTTCTAGAAATTGCTTCATATAAATCAGTGTTTCTCAATAGGGGCGATATCGCCCTCATGTAGGCGTTTTTCCATGTTGAGGGGGCTATTAGTAACAATTTATATTTTGGGGGTAAAAAACAATTTTCTGGGCGATATAATAAAACATTATATTAAGATTAATTAGATATTTTATTCGTTATATCGTGCAATAATTAAACAAATAACATTATACTAGTCACTAGTCTATTCAATGCAATACGAATTTGGCGTTAGCCTTGGCCCTCGGCATCGGAATTTTGAAGTGAAGGGAGCAATACTACATTGAAGGGGGTGACGATTTGTTAGAGGTTGAGAAACACTGATATAAATGATGCAAAATGCTCAAAAAATATTCTTTGTTGACAGTTTAGCAAGTCTGAAGGAATTCATAATTCACAACACCACAACAATCAAGGAAAACAGTCAACACAACCTTGATTTTTTGACTGACTTTGATACAATCTTTTTGGTCTTGCTTCATTTATCAAGTGCCATTCACTTGATTGTTGATTGCTGTTTCAGTGTAAAAAGCAGAGATCCATGTTTCATCACCTGTAATTATGTTAAGAATGATTCACCTTAAGAAAGCATTTGCCACTTGAACATATTGTTGCTTTTGGAAAAAATTCAACATTTTCAGGACAACTTGAGAAGCAACATGCCATAAGCCCAAATGATCTTTTAAAATTGCTTGACAAGATCCAAATGATACTGGAACATGTTCAATAATGTCCCTAATTGTTAATTGATAATCACAGAACACCAAATCTTCAACTTGAGCAACATGTTGTTCATCAGTTAAAGTGGATGGTCTACCAGAGCACGGTTCATCTTCAACGCATTCTCTGCCTTCCTTGAACATCTTGTACCATTCAAAAACTCTTGTTTTTGATAGAGTATAATCACCAAAAGCTTTTTTCAACATTTCCAACATTTTTGTAGCAGTAATTCCAAAACATGTTAAAACAAAATTTAATGCGTGCTCTTTACTCTTAACATTTCAAAAAATCGTCAATACAAAAATTTTTTACACACAAAACAAACATTTACTTGCACCAACAATGATATACGATTTCTGCTAGATGTCAATGAAAGTCGTACCAAACAACAAAAGAAACAATGACAATGCACACAATTTAAATGAACCATTCCAAATACTTTTTGATCACAATAGTATTCTGATTATGAAGTCTAAACCAAGGATGGCAAACCTTTTTGTCCTCATGCCATATATGGCATGAGGACAAAAAGCAAAATTATCATCAAAGACAATTGTATGTGCCAAAGTTTTAGACTTGTAATAATAATGTTTAAAGAAACCAAATGAAATAAATATGCTTGAATTATAGGGTGACTCACATGAGACTAACCAAAAAAAAATACTATGATTTTGAAAGGGAAAACATTTCAACTGAATTTTGAATATAGAAGTATTTTACCTCTTCACAATTACATAAATATCACAGTAGATGCTGAATATTGCCATTGGTATCCAAACAGAAATCAATTTGTCCCTGCATATTGTCAAATGCAAACTTCAGCATGTTGGTATTTATTGCTTCAATTTCCTGGATGATGATGTTTTTTAGTTACTGAAAATAGTATTAGTTTTAGGTATCTTTCAGATGATCCCCCCAAAAAGCAAGCAGATAAGACTTAAATTTGGAGACCTCAGTAGCCACAAATCTTTGTAGATTATCTGATTGCTGAACAAATCTCAGCCATGCTGACATTGAAAGTGTGACAAGTCTCACCATCCTGTTGGAAGAAGCCACTCTACAGTTCAATATTATCAACTGCATGAAGATATTGAGATACACTCCTGCATTGACAGTCTGTTCAAAGAAAATGGGACTGATTATCCTGTTCCAAGAAATGACACACCATATGCCAACCTTTATGGGATGCATTGTCTTCATGAATAATGTGGGGATTCTTACTTGTCCATATATATGTGTATTCTATGAGTTTACATAGCATAAAAGGTAAAACCAGGCTTTGTAAATGAACCATGTAATGTCTGATATGCCCGAATTTTGACTGACAAATTCCTTAAACCAGCAGCAATAATTTATTCATATCAGCATGTCAACTGGTGACAGTTCATGAACAACAGTAACATGACATGGCTTCAGTTTACCCATTTTTTGAAGTCCTGTGGCAGGTGGAATATGTCCTGTTTCTTGCGATAGTCTACATAATGATTTCTTTGGAGACTGTAACAAGTCGTATTTCACATACTGTACATCATTTTCTGACATTGCAGGTTGCCTTTCTGAATATGTATCAACAGGGCTTCTTGTTAGCTCAAGTTTCTTTGCAAGATTTGAAACAGCAGGTTTCATAGGTGGTTTCCAAAAGAAAAATTTTTTCTTAAACTCTTGTGACACTCCTTGAAACAGTCAGAAATCCAATAACTTTGAACAATAAGCAAGTGCTTAGCAATTATGATACCATCATACTCAACACTAGCCAATGGTCAAAAAGAACAGCATGAAATTGTTTCTACCAGATGCCAGCATTATAGCACCATCCAGCATGAACCAAATGGCACAGATATGGATGCACATATCAAATCATAAAGCACTTTATAATCGAATTTTGGCTTGAAATGTTTTTCCTTTTGAAATTATAGCACTTTTTTTCGGTAATGTCCCATGTGAATCACCCTGTAGAATAAATGTAAAGAAGCTGATTGAAAAAAAAAATGATCAGCTAATAAACCAAAAGGATGATTGGAAAAATAAAAAAGATAAACCAAAATCTTAGGATATGTTAAATGCCAGATGATTTTTGACGACATGCCATTTTGGACACGTGCAAAGGGTATACCATTCCTGATCTAGACCAAGGGTGGGCAACCTTTTTTATAACATGGGCCAGAATAAATTTTACGTTTTTTCCGCGGGCCATAGTAGTTAATTAACACCTTGTGACCTGAAATTTTTAGTCTGCAAATATGAAATAAATAAATAAAAAGAAATTAATTACTACAGTCGACCCCCCTATAACACTGTTGATTATTTCGTTTTATATGAATTCCATGTTTTATGAGTCACTTAGATTTTACAAATGAGTGTGCCGGGCTGTGAACGGCTCACCTATTTGTAAAATCTAAGTGACTTTAAACACAATAAAAACAGCACTATGTAGTTGGATACGACAGACATTACATTTTCTAATTGCATAGCTTTTGCACATAGATTTTCTTGATGGATGATGCGATGAGATATAAATAATTTAGAAAAATTCTGTTCTCCCATTTTTTGTTTGAATAAGGAAATGACTCCCTTATTTTTTCCTGTCATTGCTGCCGCAACACTTCAGAAAATAATATTCAATTTAAACTAGACGAATTACATCGAAAAATATTTATTTATAATTTCTTCTAAACATCTCGCGGGCCGTAGCTGGCCTGCGGGCCGGAGGTTGCCCACCGTTGATCTAGACTGTCAAAAACTCATCTTTTGATTAAAATTGCTGTCTTAAATTAAAACATTAAAAATATATTTAAAATAATCTATTTTGCTAATGTGTATTAAAACTAAATATTATATATTAAGAATAGGAAAAAAGTCTTGACAAAAGTAGCACTATTAATGTAACATAAGGCTCAATGTCTGATATCATTTTACATGCAAAATAATATAAATAAAACATAAGTAAACTAAGGATAACACTGCTTTCTCAAAGTTTAAAATACTTTTAATACTGATATTCAAGCATCTTCAAGCCAACAGTGGTCATGCACAAGAATTAATCTATCCATTACAAGTTTATTTAAACTAAAAATAACATTTAAAAAGTTTTTGAAATCTTGATATAGAATATCAAAGTTAAACTGTGTTATTCTCAGCTTTAAATACTTATGCAACAAATAAAGGAAAGCATGCAAGTCAATAAATAATCTGAACTTATCAAAATTTAATAATTACATTACCTGATGTAAAATCTGAAATATATAATCTATTTACATACAAAAAAAATTTTATATGTTAAAAATAAAAATTAAATATTAGTGAATTAGGTGAATGAAATTACATTTTATTCACTCATAAATCCATGCATTTATCATATAAACAATAATCACGCACGACGCAATTTAAGACAAGAAGCGTGCATCGTTTCCAGACAATTTATAAGCAACTATTTATTTATACCAACAGCAACTAGGATTTAAAAATAAATAAATAAAAAATGTAACTTAAAAGACCATTCATCGTCGTTGCGCATATAATTAACGTTAAGAGAACGTTTAGGTTACCTGATCGCTGGAATACATGATTGTATGTAGTTTCTAAGAAGGAAAATATATAAATATTTCGCTATCACGAACGAGTTTCATGAAGAACGAAGAGACAAGAATGCAAACCAAACATCAGATTTTCGATGCACGATCGGTACGTATTTTAGTTTCCTAACTTCGTTAACGAACCGATAAAGTCGAATATATAAAAATAACTTCATTCCCGTCTCGCTAGATAGCGAGAAAACTAAATCAAATTCCATGCAAGCCAAAGTGATTACTATTCTTTCATCGGTGACGACTTTACTATTTCTTCTTTAACAAGTCGTCTGAACTCTGCGACTATTACCGTAAAGAGGAGCGTTGCCATTGGACCGCCGCCGTCACGTGACCCTAGTCTCGTCTCCTATTGACTGCTCTCCGGGTGTTTTTATTGACATTAGTCACCTGGATAGTATATAAAAATAACCCGAATCGAAAATAATCGTTTTTGATCAAATCCGATCGTCTCCTGTTTGATTTATTTGATTACGTCGAAAATTACAACGTTGGGTTTAGTTTGTTGTTGAAACGAATCGGAAATATTTTGTGATGATGGTGCAAATGTCAATGCAACTAGAAACGTGACGTCAATGGGGGCAGCCAATTGGATGTTTAATCGCTTGGTGTCGTAGAATGTGCTTCCACGCCTTCGATCGTCCATTCACAGAGACGTTTCCATTATCGGTATTATGAAAAAACAAAAAACCACGGCAAAGTCTAAATTTAACATGTCGTAATTAAAGAGAATGGTTCTATTTGTTTAAATCAAAAGTAAATGAGTCTGGTTGGGCCATTATATTTCATACACAGCGTGCATATTAAGTAAAAAAGTCATAAATAACAAGTTGTATAAGCTACAAGCAATGCACTCAATACACAAATCTCAAGTGACAAATACAGTATAAAATATGGAAATTAAGATTTTAATAATTTATGAATAGAATAAACTAGCCTATATTGAACTTTAAACATTTGAACTACTTTCCATTTCAAGCCTTGTTATAAATTATAATTATTACAAAATATCCAGTGAAAAGAAGATGTAATTGAGAATTTCACAGAAAATTAGCATTCTTTGAAGTATTTGATGTTTTTAATTTATTGAATTTTAACTGGCTCAAATAAGCGTATTTACTTTATGAAAGAAATTCCTTCAGAATGTAAATTAATAAATAAAAAAGACACCTTTGCACTATCCATTTAAAACTGAAAAAAATAAATCAATTTTTATTTGATATATTTAAACCCAGTTAAGTTATCTTGATTGATGCTGAGTTTATCTTCGGCATCTATCAAAATGTAACATAATTTAACTAGATAAAAAAATAAGAAAATTCATTCAAATTTCTGACCGTATATCAGAATTTTTTTTTCCATTTATTTCATTCTCATTCAAAAAATAAATGAGTGCTTTTAAAATATGAATGAAATGTAACAAATAATAAACTAAAATATAAATTTAGAAAACAAGCAATTTTTAAATTTAAAAAAAAAAAATTGTATATATATAATTCAATATTTCAAACCTGTAATTTGTAAAATATTACTAGAAAAATTTGCAGACAAACTTGAAGTATTAATAGAATATATATATAAAAGTATCGCGGCTCATAATTCTTACATAATTGTACATTATATAAGAATTTAGAATGACTTTAGCTTAGAAATTTACTAGTTTAAAGTGAATTTTTATGTTTTTATCAATAAATTTTATGTTTATGATGTATTCTTTTTTCATGGCTATATTGAGTTGAGATAAAAATATATTTATTATATAAACAAAAATATATATATACTGTTATTATATGATTATCCTCAAATTTTTTATATCTTTTATAAACTGTATATATATAAACGAAACTAGAATAAACGTGCAACAGACCAGCCGATGGTGTAATATTGTGTAATGGGGTACAGGAAGATCGAAAACGTTGACTCCGTTTTAATAGTCGAAGAAAAATAGTCATGACATTAACAAGAAATCAAAACTTTGATCGTTATTCTTAGAAATTTCTATCAAATATAAGTCACAAATCCATAAAATATCATTAAAGAATTTACTCTTTACAAAGTATAAAATTTAAAATAATTTAAAATTACGTTTAATTCAATCTATACTGGATTAATTTTTACACTTTTCATATACAATTATCATTATTAAAGGATATCTAAATATAGGCATCTATAAGCGCGCACTCTCCATTAGTTAATAATTATAGGAGTAAATTACATTACATATTTTCTCTGAAATTTTAAAAGGTAAAATAACATAAAGTGCGTAATAGTTTCCTACTTTATTTTTAATATTTTATTCTTTGTAATTTCCTGCTTACAGTACGAAATAATCAACATTGATCTTACACCTTACAATAACTGGCGAACAAAAGTGACTCATGAAAAACTACTGCACTCCACTCATATCTACCAATCAACAAGGATATTTTCTACTTAATCGATTTTTATATAAAAGCTTTGAATATCTTTTCGCTAAAGTTGGCCTTTGGTTTCTTTATTTTTATTACAAAGATAGATTTAAGTAAAAAACATTTTTACTTTTAACTAATTTAAAGTATTAATGAAGGAATTTAATCACCTGAAAATCATTTAAATTAATATATAAAAACTATAAAAACATTGCTTTAGAATCTTTATCTAGGCACTAGATTTTGATTGTGAATAAAATAAAGTAAAAATTTTCAATAGAAAAATAAATCAAACTACTGTATTAGAAAATATTTTTACGGTATGTATAGCCTATATATATAACTTATATATATAAGTTACACAGAAACTCATAAAAGCCTACAGATTATAGACTTCTATATATTTTTATATATAATATAGAAAAATCTATATAGTCTATATAGATCTATACTTTTTATAAGTACGCCTATATTAAAAATAAAAAATAATCTAATTTAAAAAATTAACAACATAAATTGCAATAAAACTTTGTTTTAAATATAGTTTTTTTAATTATTAAATATTTAAATATTTTCTCAGTAAGATTTTCATTATTTTTATTAATTATTTATATTATCTTTATTTATATTAANTTATATAGTGTATATGCTGAAAAATATATAAAAAAAGTTTATAATTAGTATAAAAATTAAATTATTTATTTTTAAATGATAAAAAGTGTTTTATTATTATACATAAATTCTACGTAAATTGAAAAGTGCTTACATGAACAATTTATTAAAATATATATTTATATATTTAAAGATTTTATACAAAGTTTTTAACGTTTAAATCAATAAATTAATGACAAATTAAGTTGATATTTAGGAGTATTAACCTAGCAAAGACTTTATTAATCAGAATTATTAAAAAGTAAATGACATATAATTGATGTCAATTGTCCTATCTTTTTACATTGGTAACATATGTGGCGTGTTAAAAAGGAAGAAGTCAGTTGTATATCATCCAACTACTTGAAGATATTTTTGCATAATATTGCAAAAGCATCCTCAATCAATTTGTTACGAACGTCTGTATACAATTTACGTGCACATTTTGTAATGAATTTATATTTTCCCTCCCCCCAAAAAAAGAAAAAAAACAAAGTTATTATGACATATATGTATTGTTTAGTACATTAATACCATTTTTATAATTCTATAAATGTATTAACTTTTTTAATAATAATTAATTTATATATATTTATTATTTTAAATATTGCCTGATTTAATTAAATAATTTATAACGTTTTAAAATCATTCTTACTTTTAATGTATATTGATATCAAGTTTTTATATGTATGTGAATATATTATTTGTATATGTAATTCATTAATAACTTTTTTTAGAAGAGTTGCTATAGCCTATATCAAAAATTAATTCCTTTTATAATTAATTCAAACGTATTTTTTAATTTCATTTTACATCTTACTTCAAATCATCTTTTTGAATTTTATTAAGTGTATAAAACCCGGTCCAGTCGAGTCGGTACACGACCCAAGGGTCATATCTTCGTTTACACTCGAGTGGCAACGAGAGGGACTTCCTTTCTTACGTCACACTAACACCTAAAAATTGATCGGTGAATTTTTTAGATAGGAACCGCAGACTTTTCGGAATCAAATCCACTAAAGACGAAACCAAAATTTTGGCATGGAAATAAAACTGTCAATTTCGGTCACAAACAAAGCAACATAGCTTAGCGCAAAATTTGAAAAAGATACACCATTTTCTTAATATTTATTTAAGAATTTTTTTGAGAAATTTGCTGATATTGCGACAAAATATCTACTAGATGACTTGTAGTGGGCTGAACAGTAGGCTACGCCCGGGTTCAATATCCAACGGGTGCTGACTTTGTACAAGTGTATTAAAAAATCAGTTTTTTTTTTTAAGAGTATGTACACAAAATTGATTTAGTCGTATAATTGCACGCATGTAACGAAAATATATAAATTGATTTTTAAAATAATTATGCATAGTTGCAATCAGTTTTGCACTTTAAAAATTGCTTTATACTTTTTTTAAATAATGTTTACTACGAATTGAAAGTAGGCTACAAATCTCGGTTGAGTAATAATACTTATTGTTTCGCTATAAATATCAGTCTAGTATATTAATACATTTATACAAAAATAGTTACTTGAGGATGTTAATGACCAAATCTTGATAATCGATTTGATTTATTTTGAATTTTATAAACATTATTTTATCATTAGAGTAAAGAATTGCATAAAATAACTCCTTGCTCAAAGTATGAATTACTTAATAAGAAACAAAGAAATTTCAATTATTTATTTTTTAAAAAAATATAAGTTTTTATAATAATAAAATTTTAAAAATCAGCCATATTTTTTATATTTCGTATAAAAAAAAAATTAATTAACAAAATTTTGTACATGAGTCTGCTTTTTAAAATAAAATTTATTGCCTATAAACTGGAACAAATAAACTATATATATAGTTTTTTCTTTTTTCTTTTTTTTTGTAAATTTTAGAGTATTATTTAGATGTATGTATAAATATATATATTTTTTTAAATAGTGAATCTCGATTTTATAATTTCCTTTAACGACTTTAAATGAATGATAATTAAAATTTTCTAAAAAACCATAGTGATATTTAATAAAATTTTATTTCAAAATTTCACATCCACCAATCAAAATCTGATGCGACATCGTTAAAAGTTTTATAAACATTTATATATATATATATATATATACACATTACTTATAAATATTACAAAATTTAATGTTTAATGTTTTGATTACATGTTAAATACCTTTTTTTTTTAAATCACACTTAAGCAATAAACGTCGTCATTAATCTATGGAATTTTTGGTTTCGTCGTTATCGATGAAAAATAAAATTGCATAATATACGTCAGAGATAACATTAAATCAAAATTATATATACAGTGTATATATGTATATATATACTTTTTTTAAAAAACTTCGTTTTTTTTTTCTTTGAATAAATACCTGTACACAATTAATGAAGAAGCCACAGAAAAATTCCTATCATAAGATTGAACTCCAAAATATACTAAACTTTCAAATAAAACTACTAAAAACACATGTACACTGCTTAGTGTTTTTGGGGAGTTAGAAAATTGTTTAACAATATTAATTAATATACAATTGCAATTATGACAATTTTACATTTATAAATTAATTAATATCGAACAACTTCTAAGCTAGTTACACATCATTTTAGTAGTTAAAAACATGAATCACGTTTATTAATATATATATTTTTTATCTTCATTCATGATCATTCGTCAATATTTAACAATGTGATTGCGCGTCCAAGCGTGTTTTAAATAGAGGCCTATAGGGTTGACTATTCTTACATTTTATCCTTTTTTTCTCCAAAAAAACATTAATTTGCAAGAAAAAAATATTACATTAAAAAAACTGCAAACTTCTAAACTGTCATTCTTATTATACGTAAGTATATATATTGATTTTTCTATTACTTCTTAACACTCAAAGTTATAAAACAGTATAATTAGATGATGTAATGACGAAGCTAATGCATATAATAAAGTGCAAAAATTAATATAGATGCAGAAAAGAAGCGCTATCAATAAAAATCTTATTATCTAAAGTTGCATCACTTTCAGATTTTTAGATACAACATTAGAAATTTACTTGAAAAAAAATTATATACAAAATATGCATCTGTGTATACACTAAATTATATGAGTTATATAAGTATT